GGAGCCAGGGCTAGAAACGTTTTTTTTCTGCTGTGAAATTGGGCATTTTAACATTGGGGTCTATGGAAATTGCTCCTTTCTGCAGTCATCGCCTATCGGCCAATATATGAACTGCAGTTTGTGGCACTTCCGTATTGGCGTCCCGGCTCTTCCCCAGAGTTTGCCGCTTGGTTCTTACTCAATATCAAGTCACGATTATTGTTTTTATTTTAAATTGTATAATGTCGGACTTTTTGCCGTCTGTGAGGAAAAGAAATGGGGCTCAGAGCCTCAAAATACTGAAATCTGTATTTTTTAAATCTTTTTTTCCTTCTAATTTGTTATTCTTTTCTGAATAACACACTGTTATTTACTCAACAATAACACACAATTATCCTTGTTTTTATTTATTCGTTTAATTCTATAATCTTTGGCTTTTTAGCCGTAAATAAAGTCACCGGAAACAGACGTAGGCTTATAAGGGACATTTCGAGCATCATTGCGATACACAAAAGGCTTGTTTGAGACGAGCTGCGGCTCGCCTCGAAAGTAGACGAGAATAGCCGATCGCAGCCGGGGGAGGTCTCAAAAAGCTCGCCTGAAGTCGGACAGCTCGGAGTCGGCTTCTTCTTCTTCTTCTTCTTCTTCTTCTTCTTCTTCTTCTTCTTCTTCTCTCGGTTTTTTGGCGGATTTCAAACAACTTTAAGGTGCATACTGCCACCTCCGGAGTCGGCTTGACTCGGTTTGCATTTATAAATGCACACGGCATCTATTGCACGTCTGTCCGTCCTGGGAGAGGGATCCCTCCTCTGTTGCTCTCCCTGAGGTTTCTCCCATTTCCCCTTTAAACTGTGGGGTTTTCTCTGGAAGTGTTTCCTTGTATGATGTGAAACGTAAGGACAGAGGGTGTCGTATTGTCATACTGATATTCTGTACAAACTGTGAAGTCCACTGAGACAAATGTAACATTTGTGATATTGGGCTATATAAATAAACATTGATTGATTGATTGATAAAGAATGGACAAATGTGTTTAATCGTTAATGTCAGATATGTACTAAGTAAATACATTTGTTCCTGCTCAAGATTAGATTCAACTTTATTGTTATTGCACAGATTACAGGTACTGAGACAACGAAATGCAGTTTAGCTTCTAACCAGGAGTGCAAAAAGCAGTAAAGTGAAAAGTAATGTACACAATCTACAGAATAAAATATAGAATGAATTGAATGATGAAAAAACAGTGAGGGGTATGAATACACTATATACACAGTAGCCTAGCCTAGTATGAACAGTGTGTTGTATGAATATGCTAAGATATATAAAGTATGACAACGGTAAGCAGTGCAAGTATAGTATAAAATATATAGATATTAATGTCATGATGATAAACATTGTGGAACAATGATGAAAAATGTGAATGGAAGTGGCGACGTAAAACTGACACAAAACAACAACACACTTTTGCCGAGCCAATGGAGAGTTTCATCTCCAGCACGGGGTAAAACCCACCAATGAGCGCTCAGCTCGAGATACCAGCGAGTCGTTTCCCATCAAGCATTTCGCTTCCGCAGCCCGTGGAGAGAAACTGCGCCGCCTCGCCGCGCCTCGCTCTCAAGTCTGCGGGCGTCTTTGTCCCGCGAGATTTCAACGTCTCATGTAGGCGAGCCTCCAGAGCAAGTCGGACAAAATGACTAACCATCATGCAACGCACTAGCAAGACGTTGATCGCAATTGCGCAGGTCTGCGCAGGTCTCGCTTGTCTCAAACAAGCCTGATCCCACTGAACTGATTACCCAAGATCCTCAGCTTGAAGCTCGTTGATTCGATGTTTTAGCCGCAATGCACATCGGGATATGGTGTTAATGCGATATGATATCCGAAAAAAAATCTGAGTTTAGGATTACCGAAGACACTACACTAACCATAATCCCCAGCTATCGTTTGGGACTACAGCCCCGTTGACAAACCCCATGATTAATCTTCAAGCTCTGGGATTGGATGTTGGAGTGGTAGTGCGCCAAGGTTACGCCGAGCGTCAAAGCTCTTTGAAATGGAACGAAACCACGGCAGACTTTCCAAAACTGGACTCGAACGCCCCCCCCAGAACTACACATGCTGGCTATTGTGTTTCGCAACATATTCTATGGCACGTCTCTACTGGGAATTGTAGTTTTAAAATACGTTTTCGTTTTTCCCACAATTAGAAGTTGCCAGTATTAAACGGTGTACAGCCCTGGAGGTTTAGGCGATAGGAAACAAATTGGTGTGTACACATTTAAAACATGTAATTAATAAATGGGTGAAAATCACTTGTGTCCATAATGGGCATTATTAATATATGACAGCTCATTGTTACTTTGTAATTCTACTCCACTACAATTCAGAGGTTAACCTGGTATTTTTACTCCACTACATTTATTTTAGTTACTTTGCAGATTCTGATTAATGATGTGAAATATAAACAACCCTTAAAGCAGACTTTAGTTGCACCTGAGTAAAATTCATGGAAAGGTGATTGTCAAGTGCCAACAATCAGGAGAGATATTTGATAGTTGGTGCTTGAGAAGACTAAACATTTATCTGCAGATCTCTATAAAGTATATTCATTACTCGTTATTCTCTACTAATAGTTAATTACAAACTGTATATAATGGCTATTTTGCACATCCCTTTCAAGATTTCAAGATTTTCAAAGGTTTATTGACATATCATATACATACACACATGCTGCACATGCACAGCTGATAGAAAGGGACACCTAGTGGTTAAAGCACGTTATTGAATTGTATTATTATTTTTGAATTTTATTTATGTTAATTATGTTTAAGCACCTATTTTAACTGATATTATAAATATGTATTATACTCTTATAAGATGTATGTAGATAGTATAAGAAATGTGCAGAATATGACAGTTTAATGATGGAAGTACACACATATTGATAGATGTCTTGTAATGCACTGTTGAGGAACCTGCGACCCAAGTTTTTCATTCATTGCATAACTACACCGTAGTTGTGTATAATATGATATGTCAATAAACCTTAGAAAATCTTGAAATCTTGAAAGGGATGTGCAAAATAGTCATTATATACAGTCTTTAATGAACTATTAGTAGAGAATAACGAGTAATGAATATACTTTATAGGGATCTTATTAATATCTAATAATACAAATAATAAAATTCAATAACGTGCTTTAACCACTAGGTGTCCCTTTCTATCAGCTGTGCACCGTTATGGTGTAAATACAGCCTATCTACCAATTGGATCAAATATAAAAGTCAGCCGAATTAGTCTTGATACTGCAAGGAGACGTATTGTGTGAAAAGAAATCTAAGATGTTGTTTAATTGCTGATATATTTATGATCCACGTCACGTTTTCAGTTTTGGCGGCAGTTCTTCCTGTTTGTCTAGAAGTCTTCTCATCAGGGCTCTACTGTATAAATAGAGAACTACGGCAGATATGCAATATTTAATGCAGCCAAACCGTGTATTACAATGCCGTTATGTGATGACTTTCAAAGAGAAAAGCAAGCACACTCGGAATAAAGTATTATTATATTTAAATGTTTTTGGATTTCACATCGCATAAACACCATATCCCAACATGCATTGCGGCTAAACCATCCAATCACCGAGCTGAGGATCTTGCCTACGTCTGTTTCCGGTATTGTTTATGATGGATGTATTTTGTTATACACACAGTCCTTCACATTTAAATTTACATTTACATTAAAGTATTTCGTGAGGCCTTCTAAAATGTTTTTAAATATAACTACGGTTCTAGTTGAAGAGTTTGTAAATTAACATGTAGCCAAGTTGTTGCCTGGCAACGCAATCGCACAACGTCACGTCCGTCAATTCCACAACCTCACACATGGATTAACATCGATTTAATACATTAATGTAGCCTTTGTTTCTGCTAAAAGAGGTGTCGACCAGCTGGGGCAACAAGAAAATCGGCGAAATCGAGTGTGACTATTAAAAAATAAATCATTATTATATTAATATTGACAATAAGAACCGACCGTCGTGGTACAGCATTTGCTTGGCATTTCCGGGTATTTGGGCCATGTTAACAATACCGTGTAACTGTCACGTTTGAAGGGACGAAATCGTGACATCTTCACGTCTCCCAGCATGGTAAATCGTCACATGTTCACGTCTTGCCGTGATACCGGGTTGGGCGTATCATATGCACGCAAAACTCGGCCTCAGAACTCAATGGGAATGGTTAGCGTATCATATGCACGCAAAATCGGACTTCTGCGTATCTATTGCACGCATTTCCAATGTGTAAAGTCGTGCCACTTGTATGCAGACTGAAGAGAGTGGGTTGAGTTTTCACCACCCTCTGTAAAGCCTTACGATTGAGGGCGGTGCAGCTGCCGTACCAGGCCGTGATGCAGCCAAATGTGCATTATCCAAATGTAATCATTTGTATTTTTTAATTAGCAAAATATACAGTTATGGGACAAATCAACAATAAAACACTGGAAAGCAAAACATGTACATACATCCTTAAAAACATTCTTTACTTTTAGTTTATTGTTAACAGTTGAAATTCAACTTGAAGTTAATCTGAATTTCTCTCACTTTTCAGAGTCTGAACCTGTGATCAAACACACACACACACACACACACACACACACACACACACACACACACACACACACACACACACACACACACACACACACACACACACACACACACACACACACACACACACACACACACACACACACACACACACACACACACACACACGATTCATTGCGGAGTTGCCCCTGTTGTCTTGTTTTTACATTATTTGTTGAATTCAGAAGCCTAAGACTTGAGATGAAAACAAATGTTAAATAATGGAATTTAAAAAAAGATGATTATTACAAAACAGTATATTATGTAAACCTATATAAATAAATGAGGTGATGATATTTCTGTTTCCTTTAGAAGTTATTATACACTATGCTGTGATTCTGATCTGGGAAACATTAAAGACATTAACAGCCAGTCTGCAGATTTGGTCTCTTTATTGAAATAGTAAACAGTGGTCAGTATACATGTTAACAATATAAAGAATGAATTATATTTTTTATTACGTAAATATAAAGAATCAGATACTTCACAGAAACAAAAGATTATGATTTCTGAGTAAAAGAAAGAACATATGATGCTGAACTTGATTAAAACAAACGTTGTCATGTTTACTTGTTGACAATAGCACTTTTACATTGAATGATCTTTTAAGTGTTAATACATGTAAATATGTGATATCAGATACTAAGTTGATAAAAAATAAAGTTGTAACAGATTTTGAGCTAAGGAAATGACATATCATACTCGAATTGGAAAGAAAAACAACCTGAAGGATAACCTACATGTTGACATTTAGACTGAAATATCTTTCAACAACAAAATCTAATAGATTATAACCTTCTGGAAAACAATCACATATCATCCTTAACTTGATTCAAACTTGTTGTCATGTTGACATGCTGAATATTAACTAAATTATCCTTTTACTGATTCAAACATGTTAAAATGTGGCATTTGATGCAGCCCAAAACGAAAAGTAACATAATACATTTTGAGTCAATATAATAACACGAACATAAAAATGTAAATATTTGGAGTTATATACGTATTGGAATAGCACTCAATAAGGTAAGAAGAAAATGCTTGTATGATCTACATGTTGACATTTAGATTGAATGATATTTTAAACATTGAATATGTAAATATTTGTAACTGATGTTTATATGTATTCACAGAAACTAATAAGAATATATTCTACCTCTCTGGGAAACGGTCACATATCAAACTTAACTTGATTACAGCAGACTTTCTGTCATGTTTACATGTTGACTGTACCACCACTCAAACACAATGATTCATTAACTGATTTAAAAATGTAAATGTGTGGCTTTTGATGCAGCTCAGAAATTAAAAGACAACAATTCTAAATGTGTCAATAAAAATGTTAATAATAAGAGCCAGATACTTATTTGAAAAAAGAATAAAGACATTGTCCAATATTCATGTTGACATGAAGACTGAATGATATTTTAAAACATTGAAATTGTTAATGTGTTTATGACAAAAACACAGTAAAACATAAAAGCAAATCTTTTTGCATCAGTTACTTTAAAGAAATAAAAACACTCAATCAAATCGAATTTGATTAATTGATACTACAATAACAACCAAAGAAGTAGGATACAAAGTCTGATTTCATCAAACTGAAACGTTTACAAATTCCTTGTAAGTTGTTGTGGGGAAAATATATGGTCAATCTTGCCATCTCACAAACAGCATGTTACTTTGTGTGCTTCTCTTCATATGAATCAAATGTAATCTAAATATCCATGAGAGGATGATGACTGTAATGAGGAGGACGTGACCCTCTGTGAGCACAAAGCTTGTAGTTTCTCATTTGATAGAAAATGACTCTTTGAGACTTGCCTCTGCTTGCTCCTTTGTGATTTCTTTCCAACCTGCAGGAATATCAGCAGGCTTTGCATCGTATGCTGCTGCAAACTCATCATTGAACTTTGCCATTACATATTTCCAGTAGTCTGATGCCTGGAGGCTTGCATCCGGTGGGATTTTCCAGTCCGGATAAATGTCTCTGTAAGACTTGTAAGGATGCCATTCACCCTTTGAAGCACTGCAGCGAAAACGATTGTCACTGTTCACAGAGGAAGAACATAGGTCAATCACGAGTTTTTGTGTCTCATCCCATCTGCATCGACCCAGACCCTGTGGACGATGAAGTAAAGTGAAGTGCTCCTTGTGGGCTCTTCCTCCTGCATCACAGGGCGCTTTGCAGAACGGACACTGTTTACCACATCCAATCAGTGTGTTGAAAAGCTCGTTCTGAGGTTTCACCAGAAGGTTCTGTAGTTTAGTTTGGATGTTTGTTCCCTTAAACTTCTCTCTAAGAGCTTTTGCCATCTCCTTCACACACTCCGTGAGCCTGTGAGCAAACTGTTCCTGATTGGCATTGTTCAGGATCATGAATTTACCAAGAGCATCCTGGGAAATGACCAGTTTGTCACCAAGCTCCTGACAGACAACGTCAACAAATGACTTCAAGTTGCCACACTTTTCTGTTTGAGCTTTCTGGATAGCAGTATTTATGCTGTAGACACATGACTGGAGAGGTTGTTCCTCGAACATCGTAGACCCATTTGAGAAGCGTTCCACTATTTTGTTGAGTATCCAATTCTTTACATAAATCTCATAGGAGCAAATACAGCTCTGGTACTTTTTAAAGTCATCCTCTGAGAGCAGATCCAGTAAAACTGAATACTGGAAGGACATTCTTGTGCTGAACTGCTCACTTGTCTTCATTTCATCAATGATATCAGGACCCAGGAAACGGTTGACAAAGTCTTCGACTGCAGGCTTCAAGCATTGGTCTGTGAATTCATCTGCTTTCTTCTGGCACTGGTCTACATGATGGAACACATCTTTAAAATTAGAACGAAACGTTTCTTTGTTTCCGTTCAGACATCTGTAGGGATCATTCTCATGGATGAAATCTTCATGCATTTTCTGAAACCTTCTGGCTGCGTCTCCACAGATGTGCAGTTTCAGAGAGACTTCAAAAGTGATGTCAACTTCCTGATTGTTTTGCAGCTTCTCATCAATCATGTTTAGAATCTCCTCGATGTAGGTAACATGGTAATTACTCTTTCTGTGCATTTTGTCAGTCATCATCTCTGAGCAATCTGTAATGATGCTGTCAGCTGTTTGTTGTACAGCCTTTGTGTGACTTTGAGCACTGAATCGGTCTATAAATCGCCTGAGAATTCCTGCAGTATATTTAAAAGGCAACCGTCCACACTCTTTCAGGGTTTCGTTACTCAACAAATCATTCACTTGACTTCCCTTTTGTTTTAGATTCGTTCTCAGGTGGTGAGACACACTGGTGAAAATGTTCTCAACCTTCAATTCTGAACAGGATAGGTGAGTCACTGTTTGAGTCCACATCTTGTCAAATTCTTTGTCCAGCTCTTCCCCTTTCTTCTTGATGTTTTTCTTTCTACATTCTTCAATAAAAGCACAAACGTTGCCCTCTAATTCCTTTGTGTGGTTCTCCTTGATTCTATCAAGTTCTGTCATCCCCTCTCTGATGTCAGCTGCTGCTGTGAGTTGATTAGACACAGACCTTTCCATTTCTCCTCGAAGGCTCCTTGCACTGTTTGCAAACTCCTGTCTGTATCCTTCAACAAGATCGACACGACTCTCTGTTTCCTTGAAGTACAGTTCCAGATTTCCAAGAAGCTTTCTCTCCCATTTAGACAGCTCTATCAAAGCTTCGCTTTTCAATAGCATGAGAAGTTCTCTCATGACAGATTTGTTGGATGTATCAGCAGGTGTACTGAAGTTGGAGATTCTTGTTTCAGCTTGTGTAACCCATGTGTACATTTCTTTTTTGAATTCCCATTCCCATTTGTTGAATTCTGTGCACAGCCTCATGTATGCATCAGCCACGAGACTGTTTCTGAAACTGAAGAGGAAGTTTTCATGTTTTACTGCAGTCCACAGGCTCTTCATCCACTCAGTAAACTCCAAGATATTATTAGCTGATGATCCACAACTTCCCAAAATGTGGATTATGTTCTTCTTGAGCTCATAAACAGTCTCGCTGTAGCCTGCATTGACTGGTGCCATCGGTGGGTTTCCATTCCAGAGTCCAGGAATGTACCAGCTTCCAGTGTCTGGACTGTACTCCATCACATCAGTGAAGCTTGAGTACTTTTCTTTCTTTTCCATTTTGGCTGCTGCCTGGGTCATCTCGTTTAAGTGTTGCAGGAGCAGTTTCCTGTCTCGCATGTTCTTGTCATGGGCTGAAACATCGGACACATTCTGGTGAACAAACTGACATTTGGGCTTTTTTCCCACCTCTTTCATCCTGAGGAAAGCGTGTACAACTATCTGTAGGATGTCCTTCATTTCTGTTAAATTCTCCATTGCAATATTGATGATGGTGATATCACTCAGCCCCACAACAAGTGTTGCAAGCTCATTGTCGTGCTCATGGCTATTGTCCAGTTGTGCGAGCTCTGGTGACTTTAAGCCCTCAGTGTCAATGATCACCATGAAGTCACAGTTGAGGTCTTTTCTGACATCTTCATTGATTTGAATCAGCAACATAAAGGCACCTCGAGTGCATCGACCACTGCTGACTGCAAACTGCACTCCAAACATGGTGTTGAGGAGAGTGGACTTTCCTGTGCTCTGAACTCCAAGAACTGTGACTACCAGGATCTTGTTCTTAGGAGACACCAAGTCATTGAGCTGAGAGAGAACGTCAGTCACCCATCTGAGCGGTATGTTGGATGCTTCTCCATCTACAAGCTCAAGTGGAAATCCAGCAAGCATTAATTCTGCACATAGCTTGGGGAGATGCTGTAGTTGTTGACGTGCTGGGTCTGTTTCAGGAAGGGATAGGGAAGCTTCATAGATCTGGCCCATTTCACGGAAGAAGTGTTCAGTCCCTAATGAGCTGTTGGAAAGTTGTTCCTCAATCTCCTTGATCGCCTTTTTGTTCTCAGAGTTTTTGCATTTTTCTTTGTACTGCTCCCTGAGGTCAAAGAGTTTTTCCCGAGACACGTTATCGAGGTTCATTCGCATCCATTTCAGGAAATAGCACCTCTCTATCCCTGGGCTTGATATTGCATTGATGAAACATGTCATTGCCTTCGACATGTCATAGGAGTTCTGTTTTTCCCGAAGTTCTTTTTTCTTTAGATGAAGATTGCTTTTGTACTCTTCTATATTTTCAGACCCAACTTTCCGAAGTCGCAATTCTTCCTTCTCTAAGCAAGTGAGGTCTTTCCATATTCGTCCTTGCAAGGGAAGCTGAGCTTCTTTGTATTCAAGAATGTCTTGAATTTCTGCAGTGATGGCATCTGCGTTTTTCTTCGCATTCTGGCAGTCTGGAGAGTCTTCATCAACACAGATTCCATGTTCATGGGCAATGTCAGCCATCTTCTCAATTCCCATCTTCACCTTTGTGTTTTCAAATGCATTGCTGACTTTTGCCCGCAAATCTTTGACAAAGTTTGCATCATTTATGTGCTTATCTTTCAAAAGGATGTTGCTCTTGGTTAAGCTCAACTTGGTTGCTACCTTTTTTACAGCATCTGATTTGAAATCTTTGCTTTGACGGTTGCCCACTAAGAAGATCTGTGCCTTGTGTTGTTGGTTGGTTAGCAGCTCACACTCAGAGTCCAAAGCATCAAAGAACACAAAAACTGCGGCAGATGTCTGACACAGGAAAGAAAATTGTGTTTCAAATGAAGCAATGTCCCCACGAAGGTTAGCTACAGCGACTGGCTCGCTGAAGACGTCCATGTTTTTGTTCCCACAAGGAAGGTACCAAGCCATTTCAACCAATCCATTGGATATTCTCCTTGGACTGTCACCACCCTCCATGTTACGGTGAACAAAGGTGTCATGGTACTGCTGAGAGTTGCTCAGAAGCTTATTGAGGATCTCTGACTTGGACAAGGAGCACTCACCCAGTCTCACAAAAGATATCATTGGAAGTTTAGAGACAACAATTCTCTCTTCAATAAATCCCTTGGATTCTAAAAGGGACCGAGGTCTGTACTTTTTAACAATGTCTCTCATGGCCCAAAGCATGAGTGTGCACTGCTTTGTGTCACAGTTGGGAAGCAACAGAGGCACGGAAAACTGACACATAGACATTTTGAGGGCCATTTCCTGCTGTACAAAACCATCAGAGCACAGGAAGAGAGCAGTGATTATATCAAGGGGATTCAGTGTTTCACCTGAATGTGTTTTTTCGTCTAAATCATCAAGACCATCTGTGTGATCCTCACAGTTGGACTCGTGTGCAGGTGTATATTTCACATTCCTAGCTGTCACATTAACCATCATTAGTTTCTTCAGAAAATACCATGGAAGATCCGAATTACATTTGGCAGGTTCATCAGTAAAGGTCTTCTGGTCAATCCTCAGAAGTGTGCTTAGGGACAGCTTCTCTCTGTAGTGGTGATCACACCCCAGTTCCTCCAAAAACTTCTCTAGCTGCTTCTCTGTAGAAAATAAAAACAATACATATAAAAGCCTTAATTGATTATTAAACATTCATAAGCATGGATCAACATTTATTATAACATTTTTCCTTTCCTATAGTTTATTAAACTACAACTATGATGGGCAGTCAATTATTAAACAGCTGGTCTAATAGATGGATCCAGATCCTTCAACCACACTAGAATCAAATTAAGAGATATACAAATCTAATTGGCAGATTGCAATGGAATTGTCAGTGAAAGGATTTGATAGAAGGGATTGAGACATCATTTGTATCAAATTACAGCAGGTTTATAAAAATGCAATACACTGTTTGACATTGGCAGTGATAGGTGAACATTGAAAGAAACTATCGTTCATGTCTGTCATGATCAATCATATCTAAGATATATATTATGCATGGTTTAAGGAAACATCCACTTGAAAAGGAAAACATATACACTTGTTTGCAATGTTACTGTGCAATAGTCATTTTATGTAAAAGCATATTTTTTTATAAATGTCCTAGCATTTAATTGTTATAAGGTCTCAATACTTTAATATATATATATATATAAAATATAATATTTTTTTGCCATTTATTGGTTGTCTTTTTTACCTGCTATGCCACCTTTGCTGTAACACTGTACATTTCCCCGCAGTGGGACTAATAAAGGAATTCTGATTTTGATTCTGATAAGTACGCATACAGAAAATGTGTGAGCCAGATTAGCAGTAAACGTCATATGTGCTATACTGGCAGTAATATATCTATGACAGCTTCATTAACATGAAGAAAGGCTGTTGCTGAGAAAGTTGCATTTGCTTGAAAAACAAGAAGCTAACCTTGAAGCAATAAAAACAAATCTTAGAGCGCTAATGGAAAAGCTTGAGCTTCAAACTGATACAATAACAACCATGGAAGCCCTGGAGTATGGTGGAGGATGATAATATATTTGCTGTGGTGGAGCAATACTGTACTGGTCAACCAGATGAAAATGCTGATGTTCATAATGAAGAGGAACAAGAAAAAAAACCTAAAGCCAAACTCCAGCCAAGTCACAATCGAATAGCAAAGAAAGAGTGACTCGATTTAAGTAATGCAGCACCAAATCAAAATGACTGAAATGCTGACAAAGGAGCAACGCTTAACATTACATCCATCCAGAGAAATACCCATCTTTAAATAATATAAATTAGAGTACCTTCCATTGATTGAGATGTTTGTCCAAGCTAAAGAATTGGTGAGAAGGTTTCCATAAATGAATTCTAAAAAGGACGAGAAAGCCAAGAGATTGCTCGAAGAGAACTATGGAAATGAACTCTTTTGCAGCAGCTTGTTTGGAGAAAGGTCAAATTGGAATGCCATTAACAGTGAAGATAGAAAAGCACTGCTCAATTACACTATTTTTCTTTAAGGATATTTTAACTCAATGGAAAATATTGATACCTTCCTTTAAACTCAGGGAAAAGTGTAGAACTGCAAATTCATAGATTCAAACAAAATAAAAAATTCAATGTTTCTAGTTTTGGTTGATTTCATCAAAAGACATGCACTGATGGTTTTAAAGAAAGTAGTTTTGCAACAGAAAGTGCAGGTGCACGCATAGAAATGCAAAAGAGCAAAACATGTCAGATTTCCAAAAGACAGAGTTACGCCAGAGCTACCACCATACATGTCAGAGTCAATGACTTTGGCCAACTTGACAACACTTGATGATGAAAGCCCTTCAACAGTTATGTGCGTGTACAAATGATCAACAGCCGACACACATAACTACAGTGCCAAATGTTCCAAATGACTTTGAACCTCTATCACTCGACCACTTGCTCCAGCTCAAGGTCAAACCAATGTTACCACCAGGTTAAATCCATCTGCAATATTCAGAGCCAAAACACTGTTGGCAGCAAGTGAAATGCATAACGGAGTTCTGGAGCAGATGGATCTACGACTTTGCAAGAAAGACCAGAATGGAATTGCATTCAAAGAAACCATATACCTGGACATACATGTATTGATCATAAACTCAAAAGCACTTCATTGATCCTGGTTAATGGCAAAAGTTCTGGAGACACCACCCAGATCAAGAGGTCTGATTCTTTTTATGACAGAAACAAACATGCTGGAAAGACCATTAAGCTAAGTTATCTCTCTGGTGCCAGTCTCAGAATAAGGCAAATTAACTGAACAACCCTCTGTCACAATTAGAATGTAGATTTCAATGTAATACATATTACATACGTTTCAAAATAATGCTGAAGTAACAACATCAAAATGATGCTGAAGTAACAACATGCTGATACCGGTTAGTAAAAACCATGAATAATGCTTTGACAAGTCTGCAGACAAGACGGCAGGCGAAAAACCTTTTAAAATGCGTGTTTTCTAAATGGAGATTGGCTAAGCTAACGCAGTATATGCTCCGACCGTCCACACTCACAACAACGGCCTATACAGACATAAATAAACCAGCGACTGTACTCACCATGACACAGACAGTCTGTGGTTTGTACTTGTTTAATTTTTGTCTAGTTTCTGAACAGATATGAGGAGCTGTGAGCTCTGAGGGCTAATAGCAAACGGCTGATGTTGGTTTTGTGTTTCGCATTGAAGATGAAGTCACAGCTCCGCCTACACTGCGTTACTATAGTTACTACCCCAGTTCCTAAACTGTAATGGAAACGCAGCATAAAGTGAGCCTGGCCTACCAAGGCCTAACTATACCTTACTAAGCCGTGCTAGGCCCTGTAGTGGATATGCGCCATAAAGGGCCAGGGTCCCATGGTCAGGAGGATCGCTAGCTTCACCAAGGACTCATACAAAAGAATAACTTGAAATGCCAGCTAGCTTTAACTACATAAAACTGGGCAATCAGCTTTCTGTCTTCTGCAAGGAAATCTTTCTTGTATTCAAGGAACAATTCTGCAGTGATGTCATCTGCAACTTTCTTGGCAGTCTCACACTCTGAAGGGTCTTTTTCAGAGTTTTGGTTTCGTGCAGAAAGTCCCAATGTGTCTACCACTTTTGTAAGAAAGAGTCTGATTATTTTTATGTCAAAAACAAACATGCTGGAGAGACCAGTAAGCAAAGTTAGCTCTCTGGTGCCAGTCTCAGAATAAGGCCAAATAATTGAACAACTCTCTGTCACAACTAGAACATAGATTTCAAAGAACCTTTTATATCTGGCTCATTCTTTGTTTTGTTTATTGTTATTAAAGATAACAATAAGTGCCGCTATGTAGGCCATTTTCTTTTGGTGCAGAAGGTCAAAATAATATTGTCACCCAGTGGCGACCTCTATAGTCAATGAAAAATAATAGACTATAATTCCCCAGCACCAGCTTATTGAGATACACAGATATGGCCTGATGTGGCAGAGTTCTCCACCGTTCAATTATTTAACGTTATCATCGAACGGAAATAAACATAAATCTTAGTTTGTGCATAATTGTATTTGAGTTTGCCTCTTTTGTTTTTATAGTAAACCATGCAATAATGATTATATTGACTGACCTTTGGGGGCAGATGGTGCAGTTGGCTTGCTTAATGGTCCATCGGCTTTCGCTTGCACAGTTTCAACCTCACTGCACCACGTTGCATTGTTACTCTCCACTTCATCAAGTTCACCAGCAGGTGGCTCAAGATGCAGAGGCTCTGACTCCCTGCTGAGCTGATAGACTTTATTCTGAACAGGAGTGCTGCGCTCTGAGGGGAAAAACAGTAAGCTTCAGTAAAACTTAAAAAATGAATGTTCCATCAATGTTTGTCAGCATTTTAAAGTGCTGTTTGACTGACAAGGAAAGGCCAAAAAAAAGCCATATATAATTATCCAAAAGATCCAGAAACAGGTGACATTGATTACATTTTCAGATTTACCTGTGAAGACAGATAGCGAGGTTGCTTCGCTTTGATTTCCATTGTCTGCAATCTTTTTGAAACTGATGGTACACTCAGTCCCGTGAATCAGTGCCTTAACCGTAACAGTTTCTGCGTTATCAACAGTCAAACTGCCGCTGTTTGTTTCACAGCCTGAGTAATCTAACTGTAGTTTAAACCCAGCTACTTTCCCTGGTGGAGGAACATCTGTCATAAGACAAGAAAAGTACATCTCAGTATCTTTACATATCACTGCGTATATATTTATAACATTAGGTCAGTTATTGACAGTCACACTTACGGTCGGACTGTGGTGCTGCTGGAGTGTTCTTTCCTTCCTCACAGCACGGGTCAGGAGAGGGATCTGTTTCTTCATGATGTTCCTTGGTAAGTGAGAACATTATAGTATGTTTACATTCTATTTTGAACGAGTCATACTATATTAACAATAGCTTATGTGACATGTATTTGTAATTGTATTGTCATTTAACGGTTTACCTCCTTATCAGTGTACTCCATTTTTGATACACCCTCAGCAATCCCACACTGTTCAGATTATCCAAACAGCTTCCCACTAAAAGTAATAGGAAATAACCAGAGGTGTAAGAAGTACTCAGATCTTTTAATTAAGTAAAAGTACCATTACTACAATGTAAAAATCCTCTGTAACAAGTAAAAGTCCTTTATTCAAAATGTTACCCTAGTAAAATTACAAAAGACATCAAAAGATACTTCAAGTACAAAACGTAAAAGTACTCATTGTGCAGTAAGGCCCATTTTCATATTTAAAAACAATTGTATTATAATTAGTAATAATGAATGTATTAATGTCAATTAATGTCAATGTTGCACTTGGTAGAGGTTGGGTTCATTTTGTATATCTTGATATATACTGCTGGGTGCCTATCATATAATAATACATGATGGTTTATTAGTTTATTTTGTATTCTGTATTATTATTCAACGTCTGCAGAGCAGCTAGTAACTAAAACTGTGAAATACATATTGTTGAGTAAAAAGTAAAAAATTGCCTCCAAAATGAGGTGAAGTAAAGTATATAGTAGCACAAAGTGAAATACTCAAGTGAAGTACAGGTACCTCAAATACATACTCGAGTACAGTACTTGAAAACCATTAAACACAACACCTGAACACCAAAGATCAAACAGCCATGTGAACTCTGCAGCCTGATAGATTACTGAAACTGATGAGTTATGCTTCTGTTTGAGACCATGTGAAGCCATCCTTTAAAAAGTATTTAAATGAAAGACAAATAAATGCTTTCCTACCTTTTGTAGATGAACCATGGTAACACGTAAATCTGTTCTTGTATCCAGAGCTTTCATATGCAGTGTATAGTAGTATAAAGCTCTGCAAGTACACAGCCCTGCCCTTCTCTGCCAATGCAAGTGCCTATGAGAGGCGTCTCCTTTTATACTGCCTTGGGAAGCCACCTTGCATTTTATTTCCTTGAAAAAGAAACGTATTGTTTGGTATCCTCCCTTTCTGAATAATTATTTTCAGTCAACCCGCTCTTGGTCATGATTGTGAAAACAGCTTCTCCCTGAAAACAACAAGAGAGCTTTAATCTCAAGATTCAAAATTCAAAGGTTTATTGTCATAACATCATAACAAACTACGGTGTAATTATGTAATGCAGGGGTACTCAAACTTTTTTATTAAAGGTCCATTTGAGAACTTTATACAAGGTCACTGGTCCGGATCAATGCCAGTAAAGTCACCCCCCCCCCCCCTGAAACGAAACTGAAATTAAGAAGCAGTTTCTTATGGCGCGCTATGCATGGGGGTTTCCCGACACGTCTTGCAGTAAATGAAAGGGTGTTCCATGTTGTCGTTGCTGTGGACCTTCTTAATCTACCTTCTTTGGGGGGCCCCCTTCTGGTCCAAGCACTTGCCTGCCTTGCCTGTCGGCAAACGGCGCCGCTTTATACACTCACACATTATACAGTATGGTGGCTTGGCTGTTTGTCTGTAGTCAATGCCTTGAACCTCGGCAAAAAAGGCATTAGAAGCATTAGAAAGTCAAGGTAAACTTGCGGTTAACTTGCGGTCTGCAATGAGTGTCACGCTCGTGCACACAAGTAAATATATATGCACGTTCATTCTCACTACGCGTCAGACACAAGACGCGCGTACATAATGATGTACATTAATTGATCAGAATCAGATTTCTTTTTTTTTTCTTTTTTTTTTTTTATTTATATAATGGGACACAGGGTTCGGTCCGGATTGATTTGCAGTTCGGTCCGGATCCGGACCTTGGTCCGGAGTTTGAGAAGCCCTGTACTAGAGCAACCCCTACTAGTGTACTTAGTGTGGGCTGATGTGAACTGGTTCCCCTGTGGGAGCTACGTTACTCTGCAGGCCAGTTCATTCCCTAATTCTTGTGATGGTGCCACGACTAAATATCTAGGCCTAATAAAGGATATCGGCATTCACCTTGGTGGAAGGACAAATCGACAAAGGCTTTCGTGACTCACTTACTTTTCCTTCCTGTGCTTACCATGTGTATTTGCTGAGACTGTTCCTTACATCAAATCAGAAGACTTGTCTCAGCTTCACTTGCTTCCTTCTGTTCCTGGAAGCAAAGCCAGTTCACCATAGTTTGGAGCTTTTGAAGTGCCAACCATGGTACAGATAGGGAATGGATGGTGAAGCAGGGTTAGCAGAACCATACAGATAGAATGGGTCAGATTACTTGTGTTTTTTGGAAGGGGCCTGCCCTCCAATCAGGATTCAGAGTGCTTCATTCTGTACATTGACCTACTGCTATCAATGCACTTTGAATACAGATTATTTTGTTTGTCTAATTTAAGACCATAAATTAATGTAGCAAATATGGTCTTCTAGTCTAAGCGAGTCTGGTTATGAATGAAAGGCAGTCATTGATGTACAGTATGGAGGGGTAAGGTTATGTAAGGTTCTATTATTTATAAAATCTGGAATAATATCTTGCACTACAGTTAAGTAGGTGTTAGCTCAGAAAAAGAAACTCTATTTTGCATCTGAAAAAAGCAAGTTAATGAACATGATCCTAATTCTGTGACATGGCATTATTAACAGGTGAACATTTAAGGAAACTAAAAAGGGTGTTGCCATGATCATAACTTGCTTACTCACGACCATATTATGCTTTGAGGAGATTTTGCATACATTAAAGTTAAGGGGATTTCCAACCTCAGATTAAATAGCATTTATTTCCTGTTGAAACCTGATGTAACCAGTTCTCAGGAACGTTATTCAGAACCACATACTATGTGAAACAACAGGAGAGGGGTGAACACTTTTTAAATGTGCTTTTGACACATTTGAAGTCCCTTCTTTTATGCTACTCCGTTGCACGAGCACAATTACGCAATTTCGTTATTCTTGGTACCTTGGAACCGTTGTAAAAAAGGAATTGGCATTGATAAAGACCAATACATGCTAGAATCCTTTCTTATAACCTTCTCCTCCTCCTTTCTACCCAACTGACTAAGTAACTAACATTCTTACAACAGGATATTTTCTACCAGAGAGGGTGCTTAACCTACTCCTGGGCCTCTCATAACAGTTGAGGGTGAGATACTAGAGCAGGGGTACTCAAACTTTTTTATTAAAGGTCCATTTGTGAACTTTATACAAGGTCACTGGTCCGGATCAATGCCAGTAAAGTCACCCCCCCCCCTGAAACGAAACTGAAATTAAGAAGCAGTTTCTTATGGCGCGCTATGCATGGGGGTTTCCCGACACGTCTTGCAGTAAATGAAAGGGTGTTCCATGTTGTCGTTGCTGTGGACCTTCTTAATCTACCTTCTTTGGGGGCCCCCTTCTGGTCCAAGCACTTGCCTGCCTTGCCTGTCGGCAAACGGCGCCGCTTTATACACTCACACATTATACAGTATGGTGGCTTGGCTGTTTGTCTGTAGTCAATGCCTTGAACCTCGGCAAAAAAGGCATTAGAAGCATTAGAAAGTCAAGGTAAACTTGCGGTTAACTTGCGGTCTGCAATGAGTGTCACGCTCGCGCACACAAGTAAATATATATGCACGTTCATTCTCACTACGCGTCAGACACAAGACGCGCGTACATAATGATGTACATTAATTGATCAGAATCAGATTTATTTTTTTATTTATTTATTTTTTTATTTATATAATGGGACACAGGGTTCGGTCCGGATTGATTTGCAGTTCGGTCCGGATCCGGACCTTGGTCCGGAGTTTGAGAAGCCCTGTACTAGAGCAAGCCCTACTAGTGTACTTAGTGTGGGCTGATGTGAACTGGTTCCCCTGTGGGAGCTACGTTACTCTGCAGGCCAGTTCATTCCCTAATTCTTGTGATGGTGCCACGACTAAATATCTAGGCCTAATAAAGGATATCGGTATTCACCTTGGTGGAAGGACAAATCGACAAAGGCTTTCGTGACTCACTTACTTTTCCTTCCTGTGCTTACCATGTGTATTTGCTGAGACTGTTCCTTACATCAAATCAGAAGACTTGTCTCAGCTTCACTTGCTTCCTTCTGTTCCTGGAAGCAAAGCCAGTTCACCATAGTTTGGAGCTTTTGAAATGCCAACCATGGTACAGATAGGGAATGGATGGTGAAGCAGGGTTAGCAGAACCATTCAGATAGAATGGGTCGGATTACTTGTGTTTTTTGGAAGGGGCCTGCCCTCCAATCAGGATTCAGAGTGCTTCATT